CCCTACATGTCCCGTCCGCCGCCTCCCGCCGCGGCGCCGCGGGGCAAAGTCCGCCCCGTCGGGGCGTGCCCTCACCAAAGATGGCGCCCGCGCGGCCTCGGCCGGCAGCGCCGCCCGCCCGCCGCCAAGATGGCGGCGCGGCGTCGCCCCGCAGACCCCCCTGGGCTGCACGGGCCCCGGTGCCCCCTGCCCCGCAGAGGCCCCTGGGACCCCCCGCCCCGCCCCACGGAGCCCCCGCTCGGGCCCCACATCCGCGCTCCGCCCCCCACGCTCCCGGGCACGGCGGGAAAGCCCCCGCCGCCAAGATGGCGGCGCACGGGGCGGAAGGAACCGTAGCCACGTGACGGAAGTGTCCCAAGATGGCGGGGGCGATCGGGCAGGGGCACGTGACCGGAGGAGCCAAAATGGCCGCGCCCACGGTGCGACGCAGCACCGCCCCCGCGGAGGGGGTAATGGCGGAGGGGCGGGGCTACGAGGGGCGGGGCTTGTGTGGGCCGCTCTTAAAGGGCCCGCGCGCGAGGCTGCGGGCGGCCCAGGCAGCTTTGGGGCCGGTTGTGGCGGCGCCCCCTGCTCTCCCCACGGGGCCGCCCCCCAGCCCGGGCAGGCGGAGCCGCCACCGCCCGGGCGGGCCGCCCCCTGCCCCACGGGGCTCCCTCCGTGGGCCCCTGACCCCGTGGAAGCCCCACAGCGCCATGGGGCAGCCGCGAGCGAGGGCAGGTTTCCCCCCCCGTCCCCGATCCCACTGTTTGGGTTCCAGGCCGGTTTTTGCCCCTGCCCGGTCCGGAGGCACCGGGTGGCGCCTCCACCTGCCCCTCACTGCCCCGGCTGCAGGGAAAACCCGGCCTGGAGCTCGAGCGCGGGCCTGGAACACGGGGCCTGGCAAAGGAGGCCCTTCTCCCCGAGCCGGGGTGCAGGGTGCGGGCTGTCCCTGGCCGGGGGGGACAGGCTGGGATGAGGCTGGGATGGAGGGGCTGCTCCGGCTCCTCCCCTCCCCATCCACACGGGGGCTGCACCCTGGACGAGGGGGTCCAGGCAGGGGGGAGCCCCCCATAATGTCCCTAGGAGCTGCCCTAGGGGCCCCGGGGAGCCCAGCGGGGTCGGGGCCGTCCCCGCGCCCTGGGTGACACGGCGGGTCACGGCCCCCCCACAAGGGGCTCCGACGGGAACGCCGGAACTTGGCCGGG